ATAAAAATTAAATAACTTTCTCATCTCAAATTCAAATATTTTTTTATCATTATATTTTCTAAATTGGACCGCATTTTCAAAAATTTATGTTATGCTTCCAAACTTAAACTAACTGTACTCAATTCAAATATTAATCATACAAAAGTATTTTCTTAATTGTTTGAACACATTATATCTAAATGTTGTAGTAATATTTACGTATAAGATAATCGTTTGCCTGATTTATAAATATTAATATGTCTTCATTATTATTGTTATTAAAATATATTTTTTACTGATTCTTTAGTTTTTTCCTTACTTTATAAATAATTTGTATATTTTAATAAGATCTTATTTTGCTGCTTGAATTTATTAAATTTTTAAACTCAATAAATCTTTAATATCTTAAGTAAATTTTAGTTTTATTTATATTTTAACTTACTCCAAAATATAAATAATAATCGGTTATCTCAATTTACGTATCTCTATATTTTTATTTTTTTCTATTATAGTTTATTTAATTAATTTTTTACCTTAATATTTCTAGCTAATATAGAAGAAAATCTATGAGTTGATCAATATATAGATACAAATATAAAGATAGATATATATAGATTAGATTTGTATTTTTAAACTCAATAAATCTTTAATATCTTAAGTACATTTTAGTTTTATTTATATTTTAACTTACTCCAAAATATAAATAGTAATAGGTTATCTCAATTTACGTATCTCTATATTTTTATTTTTTTCTGTTATAGTTTTTTTAATTAATTTTTTACCGTAATATTTCTAGCTAATATAGAAGAAAATTTATGAGTTGATCAATATATATATATATATATATATAGAGAGAGAGAGAGAGAGATTAAATTTGTCTAAGATCTATTTAAATTATGTATAAGATTCATTAAACTACTTTCATTGATTATATTTCTATTTATAATTTCTAATTATTAATGTTATCTTAAAATTGCCAAGTAATTTTATTTTAGCTTGCTACTTGACTTAACCACAATGCATATTACTCTCCTTTTAATATAATATAGATATAATTTACTTTGTGCTGCACAGAAAAGAAAAATACTACAGTATACTACGAGGAGAGACGCACAAAGCAAGAATGGAATAGGGGAAGGAGGTGTCAGTAACATATTGGGAGAGAGATGGCTGAGATGGATGAGACAGTACTGAAGCACGTGACATGCACGAATAAAAGGATACAACAATTTTTCTTTTCTTTTGGGGAAAGGGGGGTGTGGGCCTGTGGGGGATGATGCTGATCCCTAAGCAAAATGCTCGGCACGTGCATCCCCCATGTGCATCCTTTTCTTTTAAATTTTAAATAAATAGCCGAATTTTTAAATCAAATATTGTGACTTTGGATACTCTATAATATTCCTCCCTTGAGGGGCGGATTCTGCATTCTACATTTTCTTAGTTAAAAAAAAAATAGTATTAAGATATTAATTGTCCATTTGTCCTCAACCCGCGCCTCCGCTACCTAATCTATGTTACCAAGTACCAACTAATGAAGTTCAATACCACTCTCTACTTATTAATTTAAAAGTTGAAATTTATATTATATTTTATTATTTATAATCGTTAGGAAACTAAAAGAAATACTACAATTTTGCATAATTATTTTGGTCAAAAGAAGATATATATTATAAGGTGATAGTATCACAATGCTTGCCATTCTTACCTATTTGGTCATTCACGAAGTAAAGTGGTAGTCATAATTAGGGGTGTACAAAGAAAACTGACAAATCACAACAACTTAATAATCTGAATCAAATAGAGAAAAAACATCCGACTATAATTTGGTTTGATTTGATTTGGTGTTGAAAAAAAAAAACCAATCATAATTGATTTGGTTTTAACTAAAGAAAGTCAAACCAAAACCAACCCAACCCGACATTACATATATAGAAATTTTAGATATATTTAATATATAAATATACTTACTGTGATGTAATTTATAAATATTTCTTAAACTTTCTCATAATTTTATCTTTTAAGGTATTATTTCAAGATTGGACGTAAAACTTTTGAATGTTCCAATAAGTTTTATAGCCATTAATATTAGTAACTTAAATAGTGCTAACAAAAGTCCAAACCAAAATCAAATCAATATTAATACTAACAAAAGACATTCAATTCAATACTACAAACGGCAATGTATTGAATATCTATTTTTTGTTTTGCAATAATTTAGATAAAAATGCATAACCTATTTTTATTTTTTCTTTAGCGTTTAGTCATGTAATTAATACTCCCTTATTAGTCTACTTATTTTAGCATGAATTAGTTCTTTTAAATTATGTTTATATATATTATGGCTTTTTAATGAGCAATATTTATATTACATAATTTATTGTTTTAATTGTTGAATATTCTAGGATAATGTCATGCCACATCTCATATTTTGTATTATTTTCTTAGAAAATACCTTATATAGTTGTATCTCACTAGGATTAAAGAAATATTTTGAGCACAAGTTATATGTTTTGTCCAACGAAGATTTTATCGGGAAAAAAATCGAAAAAACCCGAATAACCCGAAAATTCGAGAAAAATCGAGATTGAAAACCCGAGTTTTATTGATTTGGTTTGGTCTTTAGATTTAATAACCCAACACAATTGGTTTGGTTTGGTAGTTGCAAAATTCGAACCAACCCGACCTATGTACAATCCCAGTCATAATACAAAAGTTGGAGCGTTTTATCCATCAGTAGATGAAGAATCACATCAATTTGATATTTTTCTTGAGAGGTATCGAAAAGGATTTGAAATGAGATACAAAAAATTCCAAAATTCACCTTCAAGTAAAAATTAAAAATATTATGGCCAAATATTAATTTGAAAAAAAGTGAAAAGTTTCGAAAAAAGTTAAAAATATTTTTATGGCCAAACGGACCCTGTGATTACAATGTGAAAACTCATACCCTCTATCGGAAACCAAAAATTTATCCATGGTATGAGTTGCGATAAACATAACTTGTAAAATGGGAGAAAGAGAACGAGTACATACTTCTTTACTAAACTATTAGAAGCTGCAACAACAACAACAACAATGCAGTGTATTTCTATAAATGGGTAGGATGTACACAACCTTACCTCTACCTTGGTAGGATAGAGAGGTTGTTTCCGGAAGACCCTCGGCTAAAGATAAGATGTAAGAAGCACCGATAGCAAGTAATAACAATACAGGATATTTAGAAAACTAAATCCAAGATAACAAAGGGGAAGAGAAAAGAAGTACTTATGACAAGTAATAACAATGCAAGATATATAATGATATCAATCTAAAGGGATACTGATGGCAAGTACTAACAATACAAGATATGTAAAATAGCAAACTAAGGAGTCGTTTGGTAGGATGCATTAGATAAAATAATGCATGCATTACCTTTATGTATTAATAATACCTTGTTTGGTAGATATTTTGAATCTATGCATTAGTTATGCAAGCATTAGTTATACATTCTATTTGGTAATATCTTATGCATAATTAATGCATAGAAAATCATGGTATTAACAATGCAATGGATTTTAATGCATGCATTAGCTTAGTTAAAGACAAAATTGTCTTTCAAAATTTATGCTTTATTAAAATATGCTTGTTATCATATTAATGCAAGTTTAAATAATCCAAATTGTGAAAAATAAAATTATTCCCTAGTAAATAAATACTTAGCATATTTTTTTATATAAATAAATATTTAGTTATATATTACAATATAGGTAGACAAATCAAATAATTTTTTTTTAAACGTTTTCATATAAAAACATTTCTCAACATATGTTTCTTTTAAAAAGTTAGAGTGATGGACTGATTTTGAGGACATTTTTGTAAACAAACAATTCTTTTAGAAATTGTGCAATGCTTTAATACATCAAACCAAACAATAAATAAGAAATATGTCAGCATAACTAATACCAGCATAACTAATGCAAGCATAACTAATATCAGCATTACTAATACACCATATTCAGCATTATTCTTATGCACCCTACCAAAAGGATAAAAGGGATACCATACTAACATTAATATTGTTTAACTAAGGAAGACAACGGGAAACGCTCAGCTACATACTAACATTCTACCATAATTCTCAACCTCCACACCGTCCTATCAAGGGTCATGTCCTCAGTAAGCTCAAGTTGCACCACGTCCCGCCTGATCACCTCTCATCAACACTTCTTCGTCCTACCTCTACCCTTCCTCTTTCCCACCAAGGCCAGTCTCTCACACCTCATGACCGGGGCATCTGTGTTTCTCCTCTTAACATGCCCGAACCATCTCAGCCTTGCCTCGCGCATCTTTTCCTCCACAGGGGTCATTCCCATCTTGTCCCTAATAACTTCATTCGTAATTCAATCTAACCTCGTGTGCCCATACATCCATCTCAACATCCTCATCTCCGCTACTTTCATCTGCTGGACATAGGAGTTCTTAACTAGCTAGCACGCTGCCCTATACAACATAGTCGGTCTAATCACTACCTTGTAGAACTTCCCTTTAAGTCTCAACGGCACATTCTTATCGCACAAGACACCGAAAGCGAGCCTCCACTTCATCCACCCTGCTCCAATACGATTGTGACATCCTCATCTATTTCCCTATCACTCTGAATCACAAACCTAAGATACTTAAAACTCTCTCTCCTGGGAATGACTTGTGTATCAAGCCTCACATCCCCGTCCGCTTCGTGGGCAACACCGCTGAACTTGCACTATAAGTATTCGGTCTTGGTACTAGACTATTAGAGGCGAATTTAGATTTTTAAACAATGAGTTTAGGATGAGCATAATCTTATTATATTCATACTACTTTAAAAAAATAAAGTTATATACATAATTATAATTGACAAGTACCCATGACTTTAGAAGACTACTAACCATGTCTATTACAGGAGTCGGACCAAATAGTATATTATTTGGCTCACACTATAGCTTTTGTTTTCTAAGGGAAGAGAGTTGGGGTGGGTTTGGGGGGGAGGGGGAAGGGAGAAGAGGTGATCACCGACAAGGGACAAAGAAAGGAAGAAAATTTAGTCTCTGGATTGATTTTTATTCATTATATGAGAGCAGTTTCAACAGTCCAATTAATTGGGATGCTTGGTCATGTGATTGATTAAATTGTGAATTGTCACATGACACAAGAGGCAAAGAGGAGTGCGCCTGCTGCAACTGTGTCGCTCTTTTCATCTTTTTCTCTTAATTTATTTGTTTCCCAGATCTTGATCTTTTATTTAACATTTTCACCAAAGTGGTAGGAATAGAAATATAGAAATACCAAGGGAAATGATTCCTCTTCTCACATGTATATACTTGCTACATGTCAGAGCAATTCCAAGAAAAGAGACTGAAAGTTTGGAAGAGCTGGTGCAAGATCGAGGAAGATAGTGCTATGGACATTAAGGGTCGTTTGGTACGAGGTATAAGAAGGTATACGAGTGGTATAAAAATTTAATACCATCTTAATACTCTGATTGGTTAGAATCAGGTATAAGTTATCCCGGTGTTAATTTAACACCGGGATAACTTATACCTTATAGAAGGTAGGGTAATTATTACCGGTATAACTTATATCTTCTTTTTAGAAATGATGCAATTGTCATTTTTAATATAACATACCAAATAATGAATAAACAACAATCCCATCATAACTAATCACATCATAACTTATCCTAATATAACTTATACCGATATAATTCGTATTCAAACCAAACTATCCCTAAAGGGCTTCTACAATAAACATAAGAAGAGATTAATAAATGGGAAAGCAAATGAATAAAGTTTTTTTTTTTACATTGTATGATTGCAATTCGATGGAATTGGTATTAAGTCCGAATCTCAATTAACATAAGGTTCTTAACTCAAGTCCCTCTAATTACACTTTTGATCGGTAGTTAGGAATAACTTATTATAGGGTAAAGTAATTGAAATTAGACTTGATATTTCAGGACAAGAACAATATATGATTGAGGCTCGGAAATCAAGGTAGGAGCTACGATTGTCACAACAGACAAATTGGTGATCAGCAAGTCACAGTTTGAACAACTGTAAGACCTATTGGATTTCATGTTTCCTGTTTAACTATGTAAAGGAAAAGAATGGTAACAATATTTATAGCCCGTTTGGCCAAGCCTCAAAAATTAGCTTATTTTGAGAAATACTTTTTTTTAAAAGTATTTTTCTCAAAAGTACTTTTGGTGATAAGCAGTTTGTGTTTGGCTAATTAGTTTGAAAAGCACTTTTGAGCAGCAATTAGTGTTTGACCAAGCTTTAAAAAACTGCTTCTAAATGTATTTTTCTCAAAAGTACTTTTGGTGATAAGCAGTTTGTGTTTGGCTAATTAGTTTGAAAAGCACTTTTGAGCAGCAATTAGTGTTTGACCAAGCTTTAAAAAACTGCTTCTAAATGTATTTTTCTCAAAAGTGCTTATCAGAAAAGTGTTTTTGGAGAGAAACTACTTTTTTTTGCTTCTGCTTCTCCTCAAAAGCATTTTTTTTCCTTCCAAAAGCTTGGCCAAAAAATCACTTTTCGCCAAAAAGAAGCTTGGCCAAATAGACTATTAGACTTTTTTGCTTGCTACCTGAAAAAATTGTATATAAGTCGACTGGTAAAAACTAAAAACATATTACGAGAGTGATAAAAGATTGGAGAACGAAACCTAATTGTGGTCTTCTTGGACTCAAACGGCATAAATAGGTGGAAAATAAACTGACTACCATTTTATATATAGCGCAGTTATTCACCGTGTTATACCTTAATGGCGCGTTTGTCTATTAAGGTATAGCGCGGTGAATAACCGCGCTATATTTAAACTCAAAATTGGCGGGAGGTAAAGCGCATATGCAGGGGCGCTATAATATAGCGCCTCCTATATATGTGTTATACCTATATAAAAAAACGTGATGCTTCCTTCCCCGGCCAGAACGCGAATCAGCAGACCAAAATCGGTTCCCCCCCCCCCCCCCC